TGCTTCTCAAAGTTGGCCGCAAAACTACAGATGGGGTAATGAGCCAGCAAAATAATACTTGGCAAGTGTGGTCGTAAGTCTGAAGTTGTTTGTACGCTACGCTGAAGAGAACTACAATTTCACTTACTATTGTTATTTTGTAAACAATTTTCCGTCCGTTTGTTTTTTTTTTCAAGTATCTTTCTGAAATATTTACTTTGAAATGTGCAAACTCAGCAATGCGTGCAAAGATTTTTTTCTCTTAATGAAAACGGCTAAAAATACTGCACCGTCATCGAGTCTAAAAGTGCAAGCTTCATCAGACTACATAATCATTTCCGCAAAGCGGAAAGACATTCAGTGTATCTTAGTTAACCACACAGCATTCATTCTTACTAAGCTGCCAGCTCTTCATTAAAAGAACGTTAGGTACGTTTTACGTCAGCGACGTGCACAAGATTAATTCTTTTTCTTGTCTTTCTATTTTCTCGTCTCTTTGCGCTTTGTGATACAAATTCGAGTGCCTTGCGAGAAGCTGGATTCCCTTCGGCAAGAGACTAGTCTTTGTAAGAGAAATGTTTAATGATATAACAAATATAACGAGTATCTTGTGACATGTCTATTTTGCAAACAGACAACCGAGAGAAATATATAATAAGATAACAAATATTATTTAAAAAATAACTACATCGACTTTATCAATATTCTTTGAAAAATTGTTGTTACAAATGACAAACATTACGATGAAACAAAGGCCATAATTATTATTTCTATATCAGAGTGCATAAATGGGTTGGGGTTAACAAAAGAGTACAACTGGGTTATTCAAGCAATTTGAAGCAGCATGAGCATCCATTGCGGCACCAAAAGTAATTAAACTATGCTATTCAACAGACGGTTCATACCTATTACATGGCTTAACGTTTCGCAGATTACATTGGGACACAATATGGTGAATTGTTCCGTCCGGTTGGTATACTGTGCTCTTGCTCATACAATTTCGACGCGTAAATACGCAAGGACGAATGGGAATTGCAAAAACGGGTTGCACTTGTCGCTGTGAGTTCGAGAGACAGGCCTGACGTGTGTGACTAATCATTGTTACCGTGAATGACATATCGGTAGAGACAAGCTTTATGGTGATAGGCAAGCGGATCGACACAGGGCTCCATTCCATTCGACGAATTGGATGGACGCGATAGAAACTTCGTTACTTAGTTAAATTGACGGAAATCAAGTTTTCCTCCTACTTGCGGAATCGCGTTGATGTGCATCGCGACGAAAGCGCAGTTATATGTGCTCGCGTCAAAATGGTCGCAGTTCAGCATTGACGAATTACGCGGAAAATTGCCTATGCAGTGGAGGCAAAAATATGTATGAATTTTCAACGTAGAAATGAATTGAAAGCTTCATTCGGAAGATTATAGCTCGAGTAGAAATTGTAATAAAACATATGTATATGAAACCGCAATTTATGTGCCTTGTTTATGAAGATAAAGAAGAGCGTGAAATGCAATTCTGTATTTTCATCAAACTGTGAATATTATGGTTTGCAATATGTTTTTTTTGCAGTAATAACGTCCTGTTCTATGAGGAATAAATTACATACTAATATGAGCGCAAACTTTGTATATTTTCATTGTTACAACAGTGCACGGATATATATATATAGTAGCCCTTCGTGGCTGTAAACATCAGTAATTTGCCTTCTATTTATTTCCTTTTCCTTTCAGACGACGAAACTTTATGAATATTCCTGTCGTACGAAAGTACTCGATAAAATAGAAATATTGGCTATATTAAAGCTACTAGGACAATCCCTGCGAATCCCATTGCAGCCGTCGCATAGTGAACGTATTTGAAATGCAAAAATAAAAAAGGATCCTCACATATTAAACCACTTAAGTGCTCTCGTAACAGCTCACGATGCACTTACTTTGATTTCTCGAAGCGGGTGCGGAATAATGGATGGCCGACTTCCAATGTAATGAATATATTAGCTGACGGTATCCCGCAAGGATACTGTAGTCTCACCTGAATACTGTGTAATTATAAAACAATTACTCAAAGTTATCTTCGTGCAGAAAAATGCGTAAAATATGCATTCTAATTTATTTCATTTTCAGTATTAAC